TAGGACCAGGACCAGGACCAGGACCAGGACCAGGACCAGGACCAGGACCAGTAGAGGACCAGGACCAGGACCAGGACCAGGACCAGGCCCACCAGAGGACCAGGACTCACCGGGGGAGTTGCTGGAGAAGCGAGCCCGGCGCGGGCTGCTCTCGTCGGGCAGCAGGAGGCCGGAGGAGCAGAGGGCCAGCAGCAGCAGGAACGGCCCGCGGAGCGCCCAGTGCATGGGGGGGGCCATCTTCTCTAGTGGGTCCTGGTCTCTGGTGGGTCCTGGTCTCTGGTGGGTCCTGGTCTCTAGTGGAGGGGGTCTCAGGGTCTCTAGTGGGTCCTGGAGCTTCTAACTCTAGGGGTCTAACCCTCACCCTTATATGGGGGAAACCGGCCAATCAGGGCGCGGCGTGGTTAATGGTTAATTAGACTTAGACTTAGACAACTTAAACTTTTTGTTCTCTTTTTGGTCAATTTGTCTCTTTTTCTAGTATTTTTATTTCATTTTCTGGTCATTTATTGGAGTTTTGTGTCCATTTCTGATCATTCTCCGGTCTTCAGCTGGACTTTTTTGTAGTTTTGTGTGTTTTTTAGACTTAGACTTAGACTTAGACAGTACTTTATTGATCCCTTGGGGAGACTCCCTCAGGAAATTAAGGTTACCAGCAGCTTAAAGGGCAGAAAGTATCAAGTTAGAATTAAATTAAGCAAAAAAATACAAATAAATAAAAAATACAGATTAAGTACAGTGTATGTAATATCTCTTCCCCCTGTCCTGGTTCACCTCCTCGCCCCCAGTGAGGCGTTTACAGTCTGATGGCGTGCGGGACAAAAGAGTTCTTAAGTCTATTGGTCTATCGGCACTTGGTTCTGGCCTTAATTGGATCTTTCCACAGAGACCAGTTGGTTACTTTTTAATGCAGTTTAATGCTTCAACTGAGTTGGGAAAAACTGCCTTCTATTATATATTCTGCACCCTGGGGATGGAATAACCTCCAGAAAAAGCTCAAATTATTTATTATTATTTTTTTTTTATATAATGTTTTTATTCATGCCTTAATTGGATCTTTCCACAGAGACCAGTTGGTTACTTTTTAATGCAGTTTAATGCTTCAACTGAGTTGGG